GCTAAATCAAGTAAGAAGATACCTCCTAAAAATTTAAATAGACCCACTCCCTGTCTAATCAAGCACCACTATCCCAGCAGAAAAAAAAAAAAAAAAAAGAAAAAGAAAAAAAAACAGGATTCCATCTGATGTGCCAGGAGTGCACACCACATGCAAACGACCTGCCCAATTCTCAGCTTTCCAGTGAGGCCTTCTTTGCTCACCCCTCCAGACCCTCAAAAAAATGATGAACTTCACCCCACCGCCACTCCAGGTTGCAGATTCCCTGGGCTGGGCCATTACAATAGCAAGAGAAATGAGACAGGGAGGCAAAGAAAAGTAAATTGTAGTTCCCTGTCTTCATTTTTTTTTTTCTATTCTCTGTTCAATAAATATGGCCTTTTTCAGATTTCACAAATCAAAATGATTGTGATTTTTAGTACGATTTGGTGTTTAAAATAATGCCACCCAATACATGGCCATCTGGCTGGGCTTGATTGATGAAAGTGACCCAGGGGCCTGTCTAAGAGAAATAACTGTTCCTTGTTTCTCTCACAGTTTTCCGGGATTTTTTAACCCCTACATCCATGATATCACAGGCAGAGGGAGTGAAGATGAGAGAAGTAGGCAAAGAGTGAGTGACAGTTAAGTGAGATGAAGGGAAACTGGTCTATAAAATCATTGCTTTCTCACCCTTGAGTACTTAAACAAACAAACAAACTCCAATACATAGGGAGTAAACCCAGTAGAGCCTCTGCATCTTTAGTACCCACAACCTAAGGCATTACTTTCATTTTCCCACACTATAAATATTGATACACTAACTTGATGTGATCACTCTGCAGGGTTTACCTAAAAAGTGACCCCAAAAGCTAAATCCCAGCACCAGTGAAGAAGACAAGAAGTCACACTGGGGAAAGACTGAATCACAGAAGTCTGAGCTACTAACACAAAGATGGTCTGCAGTATGGACCAAAAGCAGGAATTGGGAAAACTATATTCTTTCATGACATGAAAAAAAAAAAAAAAAACCCAAAAGCAAAAGAAACAACAACCCTCAAACAACAGGAAAACTCAATAATTTAAATGTAATTACATATAGTGATGGGAATTGATATCAAAATATTTTATAGATTTATAAGCTATTCTTTACAACTATTAGTCTTCAGAAAAAGAGAAGAGATTTAATATGTTGGGGGTAGAAAGAAAAAGGAAAGACTGAACTCAGGAGGGCTATATTAACCATTAATGACCAGTTGGCACGTTTTTACTGGTGATATAGTCCAATCATTCAATAAAGAACACAGGTAACTTCAAGAAAAGGGCTCTAGCATTTACAGATAATCTCACCTAAAAAACAATAAAGACACCCAGTAAAATTAAGGGAGAGAAAAATATTGTGAAATTTATAGATTAACAAGGAATGACCACTATGTTAAAATGCCAGCTGTTTCAGTAATGCCTTTACTCTTAATTTCCAAACTTGCCTTAAGTGGAACAGGCGCTATTTCCTTAACACTATTACTTAAGGATTTGTATAAGTAAAAAAAAAAAAAAAAAAATCTAGAGAACTCAGTGTTTACGCATCAGACACAGACTATTTCATTCTAACAAATTTATTTTCTCGATCAGCTCTTACGGAATCACTACTCAAATTAAATTACAATCAAATGATCACATCAAAAGATACCCTTATTACCTAACAACTGTCCATATTTTCATTTCATTTTGATTTGTGCTCGTCTGAAAAAAACAGGTAATACAAGATCTGGGGAAAAATAAATTACCGTTTTGCAGCAGTTCATAAGTATTCTGAATAAAATATTAAAAGAAGTCATTTAATGAAAATATAAAGCAAATATTTTTAGATCAACAACGGATCTAACAATTCTATATTGCCGTCTTTTGAAAAGTCTGTTTATTAAAACCTACCAAAAACACTGCTTGGAAATGGCAGTATTATATAATCACATCCACAGCACCCATTCAATCAAAGTTGGCAACGGATTGAGGACAGAAGTCAAGAGAAGTGCAGCGGCTGGTGCTCAGTCTTTCTAAATCCCTTTATCTGAGTCAGTCCAGAAATAAAAAATAAAAAATATTAATAAAAAAAATATTAGCGGTGGAATCTTTAGGCATGATGGTCCACCCCAACGGCTGCCGGCAAAGCCGGGGTCGGTGGTGGCTGGGCCTCACTGGGCAGCCTCGCAGGCTGGGCCTCCGCTCCCTGTCAGCCCAACCGCGCTGGACTCAGCCAGCCCCGGGCCTCTGGCCACTTGCGGCTGGACGTCCGGATCTCCCTCGCCCATCCTCGGCTCTTTCGCGTTGCTTTTATTTCCAAGGTTACTTTGAGGATACTTTCTTTTGGCTTTGCTATTCAGTCTGTTAATTTCAGAAGCTGTGAATTTGTCTTTGCCTGTTTTTCCCCCTCCTTCCCATTTCAACGCCGAGTTGCCTCTTCCCAAACGACTTTAAAATGGCCAAGAAAAACAGGGTCCTGGAGCACAGAGTAAGACCCCGAGGAGATCAGGTGCTGGCTCTCAGGTCCCTTGGAGGAGGAGGGAAAGTTTCCGCGCAGCTCTTAGGCAGCCCTTTGGGAGGAAGTGGAAGAAAGAGGGGGGCTCTTTCTCTCTCTTTTATAAGAGAGGAGGCCGAGGCAGGTGCTGTCCACCGCTGCCAGGTAGGACATCTCAGGGTGGGTACACCTTAAGAGCGCAGTTTTGGTGCTGTAGGTAAAGTCACCCTTCTTTAAAATAAAAAAACAAAACACCACCACAGCACAGACGGGATCTCACGGTTGCCTTTTCCTCTTCAGGTTTTGCTTGTTATGTGTGTATATAAAACAGTCTGGGTATTTATTATGTTTTTTTTTCATTTTTTTTTTTTGGTCCCTCCTTCCTTGGACTTAAAAAAAAAAATGTCTCCTTGGTCCGTTTCTCCCTCGTCTTTTCCTCCAAGGGCGGGCATGCCTGTCTGTCTTTGGGCGGAGGGGAGGGCGGCGGATGCACCC